TTGTTGGTGCGTGCTTGTGCTACTGTCCTGAAAGCATTCCTTTAATTTAATCCGAGAAAGACTGAGTCATCGCTTATTCCTCTGCTCAGCCTGATCTGTCTCCCCCGAGCTCATCCCATGAGTCTTGCATATAGCCGCTGTACAGGAGAGCTGTTCTCACGTTAAGCGATTGTTGATGTTCCAGCGATTAACGTTTTCTTTAAGTACCACGCCGAGCACCTACTAACAATAAAAGCTACGTGTACAACTTTATGGCTTCATTTACTTGGCGTTAACTCGAGCCAAGACAACTGATTTATGGGCCTTTCATCTTTAACTATAGCTTTTGAGCAGTTTCTTCTTCGTCAAAATCTTCCGGCCATCTTTATTCGGAGGCCTTGTCATTTTCTTTCTCCCCGCCCTCTATTTCAAGCCAGAGCCTCCCTCGGCACAATATATGATTAGGTGGTTCGTTAATTTTCGAGTCCCTTCCATTCCCTCCTTCTCGGAAATCGTTTACTCTAGTCATTCTCTTTTTTTGTTCTCTCGATTTCCATTGCTGGGTCTTTTATTTTGCGTTTTGGCCTTTCTGGGGAATCTCCTATATTCTTCTGTCCCACCTTTCATCTTGGAAGCCTGCTGTTTTCCTTCTTGGTTTAGGAGCCGCGCCTAATGTCCGTTTGCCACCGTAAAGAGTTATCTTCCGTCTTCCTTTCCGTGGATGGTCTAGGGCCTTTTAGTTACCTTGCTTTTGTTTATCTGTTCATTTTCCTGAGCTCACTCCTTTGGTTCTCTACTGCCTTCTTACCCCCGGTCCACTTATCAATTTCCCCGACTTATTGTTAGACCTGTTGACTTAATCTGGCTCCTAGTCTAGATGTTCCATTCCTGCTCCAAATACTTCATAAGTCAGTTTATCATGCATACATTGTTTCTGCTGTTCATAATCCCCTCTTCGTTTATGCCCTCACAATTATGATCCTAGTATTGTTTTTCGAAGCCCTATTTTTTCTTCGCGTTACGTCGTTCGTCTTTTCATAACTTTTTTCGTCCGACAGGGAGAGAACCTTCGATTTCTTTTGCGTTTGATAACGTTTTACAAGTTATCCGTAGGAATGGAACTTAAATACATTTCATCTTATTGGATCAGCAACATTTTGTCATTCCCGATCAAATTTTTAAATTTCAAGTTTGAACTTTCGCTGGTTCCTCAATTGTAGGTCTTCCAAACTAATGATTGAACTTATTTACCAATGAGAGTTTGATACTTCGATCGCTAGTTTGGAAGACCTCCAATTAAGGAACCAGTGGAGGTCAAACTTGAAATTTCATAATTTGATCGGAAATGTCAATACGTTGCTGAACTAATAGGATGCAAGTGAATGTAAGCGATAGTACAGGTCGAAGTCCTCGTGTTGGCAGCACATTCCCTCTGCAGCGTGCTTTTTTCACAGGAGCTCCTTGGAATATACGTTCCACATATGGCTTCATTTTTTCTCACTTCTAGGACATCGTTCGTAGCTAATGATATTTGATCACTGCAAGGCGAGCTAGCAGTTATGCTTGGTGTCTCGTATAATAACGCATATCAATGCATTCATCACATCCGTGTCGGCAAGTCCATCCGGTTTTGAAGGGAGAATGTTAAACAGTCTGGTACACTGGGAAAGGTCCATTGTGCAACTTCATTCCACGGCGAAGTCTGCCCAAAAATAACGTTGACGGACGAGAACCTTTTACGGTGGTAATATACGCGACCGTGGAATGGAGTTGCACAATGGACCTATTCCAATCTACCCCAATGTTTAACTTCTCCCTTCAGAACCGGATGGACTTGCCGACATGGATGTGATGGCTGCATTAAAATGCGTTATTATACGAGACACCAAGAATAACTGCTAACTCGCCCTCGTCTTGCAGTGATTAAATATCATCAAGAGGGTGGTAATGGGTCCGGTATTACGGTATAGTTCACCGAAGACTGTTACATAGGTTTATGTGAATGTCGGTGAATGAAATCTCCAGTTTTTTTTGAACTGTCTCTATTCTGCTTCGCGGGGCCTATTCAAGGCTGTCAGTCGTTCGTAACTCTGCGTTTTACTTGAGATCTAAACTGTGGCAGTTGGGAATTTGTATTCATTTCAAAGTGGCTGCTTTTGTGCGTTTTTGCGTGTTTCCTTTCTTTGTTTCGGGTAGCTCACTCAAAAAACACGCTATGCTTACTCGCTCGGAGCGCTTACTGGTCTAGCACTGTCTTTGTTTCCATTTTTTTTGTTTTTGAAAAGTGGGAGGACGAAGTGAAAACAAACAAAATTGCATAGCATTGACGCTGTGTTTGGTGTGAATTCTTTTTTCCCATCTTTTCATAATTTTGAGACCTTCGTTCCCAGGAAGTAGACGGAGTAGAAGTGTTTTGTAGCGCCAGTTATCATGAAAATAAGGAAGCTACTACTTTACTATAATATTAAACTGTGTCGTAATCTGTCATGACTATGTTAAGGGAGCTGATGTATGTATTTATCCGGATGCTTAAGTGGCGAGATAGGAAACGCGCTGTAGTAGATGCAGAATATTAATTTTTATTTTGTTTAAGGCTATCTCTTCGATTTCTGATTTGAATTTACTGATGTTAATATAGAATTCTCGGCATTTGTTCCCTCTTTTTTGTCTCTTTTTTGTAAATTTTGCATAGAATATATTTTTAAACATGCTTGGTATTGCCTTTTTTCTCACTTTAATTAGTGAAACATCATCATTATAAGCACAGCGAAATTGTTTGTTTATTTCGAGATTTTCCTTTATCTATTTTACTTTTCTTGTGTTTCCTAGACTTCTACTTTCCGTTATTTTCCTCTCTCATATTTTAGGGAGACGGGCGTTAGGAACGATTTTTGGTAATCGATTTGCCGCACGCGGCTGTCGCGGACCACTCATTCGCCGTTATTACAGCTCTAGCGTTCTTCATACAGCTCAATCGATATGCGATCATTATTTTATGCATAATTCTACTATTAGTACTTTTGTTCTTGTATTTCTTACCTACCGTTGCATCCTGCTACATTCTTTCGTGCGCGACGCCCCTCTCACCGCGACGCGACTATTTCGTTCCTAACTCACCACACTCCATATTTTATGATCTCCTGCAAAAGGACCCTTGAGCGTTGCTGAAAACTTGAGGACTTTATACTATTTCTTTCACATCCACGGTTACGTGGTTATGTGTCTGGCTTTTTAGTAGGAAAGACCCACTAAATACTGACGCGTGTGTCTTCGCTAAGAAAAGGGACTTTATATGCACCTTTATTCTAATTATATACACCTAACGAAAGTCTAACTGCTCTTGCAGCCTTTTCCACCCTCATCCATCTAGCGCGAAATCCGCAATTGCCGATATATTGTCGGAGACGATTGGTAATTTACAGAGACAACAAAAAGCCAATCAGATTACTTCATGCTTCCAGAGAAGAGTTGAAAGTCCTTAAACATAAAAACATAGAACATTGCATAACTCATAACATAGACCTTTTCACTTCCACGTGAGGCTAGATGTTGGGATTTATTCCAACCACAAAAACGCAAAAAAGGCAAAAGAAACCTAACAAGGCATTTCTAGATCATTGTGCAAAGTGGTTCGGAAATGCTGAGTCTCGTTACCTAAATGAACCTAACTATTAGGTTGATGCATGATTATTGCGGATTTTTTCGCGGTCTTTTTTCTCTGTAGAATTTATATATTGAGTTCGGGTTTTTCCTAGAAATGATCCACTTGATTTCCTCTACAAGAATATACTCAAAAAACCATCCGCATATCCGCAAAATTAGGCTTTACTTTTTCGAGAAAGATTGGAAGGTGGCACAGTCATTCCGCGATCTAAGTAACTTTTTAGCGATCGTTCATTAAGTGATCTAGTGAAAGTACACATGGCGGTCAAACACGATTGTTCTGATATTTTCTATTTCCCCTGCATTTTACCTGCCTCTATATATTAGGTTGATGCATAATTATTGCGGATTTTTTCCAGCAAATTTTACTTAAAGAAACTGTGGAAATACTAAGCAAAGACATATTCAAATAATCACTCCGGAACTTATTCACCATCTACGTCAAGCAC